TTTGATGGAATTTTGAAGTATAGCCAATGTGGGGTAAATTTGGGGTTTTTGGACTTAGGTCAAAATTAAATGAAATTGAGGGTTCACCAAGGCCAATTAAAGGTGAAGTTTGATGTATAGGAGAGTTATGAAGAGTTTTCAACATAAATTGTGGCAAATTAAATGGGCTATGGATTCAATTTGGTGAGATTAGGTCATGTGGCCAAAATTGGGGGTTTGCCTTAGATCAAAACTGAGCTCAAAGCATGGGCCAATTAAACTTGGATTTGGTTTAGATTGGTCATTTGAAAGATTAATTTGAGTTTAGAATTAAAATTGGGGGAGATTGGGACCAAATTGATGGACATTTGAAGTGAATTTAGGAAAATTGGGTCTTTAAAGGCATTTTGGGGGTTTTGGTCAAAATGGTCAAATTGGGTCATGTGGTAGTTGAGAAAAATGAAATTGGGAATATTTGAAATGTTTTGAGAATTTTTGGGATTTTTTGAAATTTTTGGAATTTTGGGCTAAGGAGGGGCATTTTGGTAATTTGGCTTTTTTTTGGTGATTTTGGGTAATTTGGATGTTTTCAAAAGGCTTTAAATGATATTTGAACAAATTTGGATATTTTGGGTAAATTTGAGAATTTTGGTCAAATTTAGGGTTTCAAGGGTACTTAGGTAATTTATGGGAGTTCAGGGGCAAAAAGGCCAAGTTGAGTATTTTTGGTAAAATTGGGGTGTCAACCACCATAAATGAGCTATGGACCAATGGAAACTCCATTTGAGTTCTCTATGTACTGGTCTTAGCTAAACCCTAGCCTAGGGTCAGAGGGTTTTGGGGACCATCTGCATGAGTCTCTCAAAGGATTAAGGGATCAAAGTTAAGAAATTTTTTGTTTATATTTGTTAGTGATTGTGAGTGAGGTGAGTATCTTAGCTCTAGACCAACACCCAAGGTCAACCCTAAGGTCAAACAATCCTATGGGAACTCTCCTTGGGCTCCCCCATAATGACCCCACCTATTAAGTGCTAGAGGTTAGGACCGCTATGTGGAACTTTAAGTTGAGTAAAGAGGAGTTTGAAATTTCTAATGGTGAGGGTTCCTTTTCTAGTTTTCTAGGAATAGTAAACAAGAAAGTCCTATAGCTAGACCCTAGGCTACTAAAGAGGAAAAACTATACCTGAACCAAAAGTGAGGTCAACATACATAAAGGAAGACCCTATCTTAAATAATTCAATGTGGTATAAATAATAATTCAACACCAACCCTTAAGATATTTAAAGGAACGGGTAATCCAAGTCAACACTTGACACATTTTTGTGCATGTTGTTTTAATGCTAGAGGGAGCGAGGCTTACTAGTCCATCTGTTTGTTAAGATTTTAGCTGGAGTTTCATTTTATTTGTATTAAAACAACACAATTGATTGGTTAATACTTTCTTTGAACTTGAAGTGTAATTCATAAAAAGGTTTGCTAGAGCTCAACATCATGTTACAGTTGGTGACTTAATCATTGAGAAACAGAAATGGGCCAACTACGCTATTCTTGAAAGGAATTACTATCAATAATTTTCAAAAATTAATAAGTAAAGATGCCAGCTTTCAAGAAAAAATCAAATAACTGTCATTTTAAGTCAGGATACAAGGCAGCAAGGCAGAAACCTTGAAAGTTTATGAGAAGAGAATTGGTAATGTGTCTGACATTGATAAAGACCCATGAAAATGCCACCTGAAAACTATAGGCAGGTGGCAGCCTCCACAATAATAATTCTTACAACAACAATGAAAATCACCACGACAATAGTTTCCACAATAACAACAACAATAACAAAAACAGTGACAACCATAACAACCTTATTAAATTGAGGAATGGAGAATGACTAGATTTAGTTTTGAGGAAAAAAACAACTTAGTATATTCTTGTAAAGATAATTTCATAGAGAAGATGTTCATAAATCTGCTAAAAAATTCAGATTCAAACTATTTAAGTCATTTTAGCCCAATGACATAAAAAAGAACAATAAAACTAATTATTGTCCATATCATAGACTCATTGAACGTTAGATTGAGGAATATTTCCCTTTCAAAGATTGGTTTGAGAGAAATCATATAAATAATACCATAATTATTCCCAAAGATGATTTTAAGGATCCAAAACAAGGCTCCATCAATTTTTCTTTGGTTATGGCATGGAACCATTTGACTCACAAAAAGAAGAAGAAGGTTGGAACCTTGTTCTATCCAAGACTTCCAAACGATTATCAAGAAATTTCATAGCCTTTCGTAGAAGGACCCTAAAGGAACTCAAGCATCGACCAAAACTAATGCTTTAGTAGTTCTTGAAGAGAAGAAAGAAGTAGAACATACACTAAAGCTAGTTATACTTGAAGAGAAAACTAAAGGAAAAAAAGTATGTTTAGGAGTAGTTAAGACTATAGAGAATTTTCGTTATATGGTATTCATTTCGAGCAAGGATATTAGGACTCTTACGCCACTCACTCCATCTGACTTTTATTTTAATCCCCCTGGACCATTAATAAAAAGAGTATCGGTTCTAGTTATAATTCGTCTATTTTTTATGAATTTTTTTTAATAACTCAAGGATTAATAATAGTAACAATTCTAATAACTCTAATAATAATAATTCTCAATTCATGAAATAATCTATTGAAAATTCTCATTAAAGTTATCACTCAGATTTTGATAATGATCCCCCTATCCTAAATTTTAAGGGCACACTTACTAGAATTGAGTTAAAAACCTTAGATTCTAAAGATTCTCATGAAGAAACTCTAGAGATTATAGAAAAACTTATTGATGCTGCTCCAGCTTCTGCAAAAGTGGTTTTGCAAATAAATCTCTAAAGTGGCAAAATTCTCCCACCACATACCATGCCTATGGAGAGTACTACACAAGTCACTAATACTAATCAGCCCATAATACCTCCACAGGATGTTCATACCAAGGATAAAAGCTTGTGCAAGCCTCATATAAAGTTCATTATAATATGTCATCTCATGTAAGAAAATTTCCAGCCGAGATCAGTATTTAAGATGCCCTTGCCTTGTCCAAAGAAAAGAGAGTCTCATTGATTAAAGACTTACAACATATCAAAATTTTGTATGGCTAAGTTGGCATCTGTTGCTTTAGATGAAAAAGTAAATCACTACGATGAAGTTCCTAATTTGATGTTCATTGGTGATTATTAACTTTATTTTTGTAGAGCCCATTTTTCTGGCTTGTGCTTTACTGAAGATCACTTAAGTTGAATCTTCAACAAATGCTAATTTAATATAATTGAGATTTAACTTAATAAAAATAAAATTAACCTTAATCAATCTTCAAATATAACTCATTTTTAGTCAAATCCAAAATATAACTCCAAAATCAACCTTAATCAATAAAACTCAGAGATTGTCATTTTCCTTCCTAAGATTATTGCAGAACACGATACCTCATTCTGAAAGTTGCATGAGACTCAGTATCACTCATAAAGACCATGCAAATAAGTTTGATGATTGTTTAAAATAATTTTTACGTAAAATTCTCAAGTTCAATTTTCATGCATGAATAGTGTTATCTCAACTCTAAGATTATCATTTTCTCCACAGGCCAATTTGGTGATTCAAATTACATTCTATAAATTGTATAATCTTTATAATCACATATGAGAAGCAAGGAAACCAGTTTGGTGGTCATCATACATTGTTTTAACATAAAAGTGAGCATTTAAGGTTCCTTGCATGAAAAATGGTCCCACATAAAAATTTTTCTAAGTCTTTACTTTTCAAAAAGGACTTTGTCATTGCTTCCGTATTATCTAAACCTTCCAAAGGAATTCATTCGAACCTAAAACTGAGTTCGTTTGGAAGCCTGCTGAGTCGATGATAATTATATGAGAGAAAATTGATAGTTTTGATAATAACCAAAAAGGACGAGAAATGCAACATGATTGACATATATTACTATTCATTACTATTGACTCTTCTCTCACTCTCACACAACTTTTTTACGCTCTATTCCTTTTGATAAGTTTCACAGGCATTTTAGAATTCAACATATACATTTATATTCTAACACTTATTCTTTAATGTTCATTTAACAATCACTAAAATGCTTAACGTTATATTAAAATTTTCAACACAATTCTTTTTAGAAGGGAATATTTACATACATACCACATAATTTTTATCCGTTTATCTATCAACACATAAATGTTTGATATATTAACATATATTATATATGCATGAAAGATTATATTTTACTCTTAGAAAATTAGTAATAATTTTATGTGATATTAAAAGTAAAGTATTGTATAAGCAAGTAATAAATTTTAAATATTAAATATTATAATTTGGTGGCGTCTACTTAAAATAATAATAATAATATGTATTATATATTTAATATTAAAACTTTAGTTTTTTACATTTATAACATTTGATTCATTATAATTTATATTACGTCTAAAACGTACTAAAACACCATTTTACAAAAAAAAAATATTTGCATATGTACTGTGGGGGTTATTCAAAGGGTAAGAGCAGGTTATATCCGTTTTATACCCTGCTGTAACCTCCTTGTAACTTACCTGTAACTACCGGAATTACAGAAGCGCGAAAGTTATTTGTAAGTTACATATAGGTTACGGTTAGGTTACAGAGAGATTAAAAGGGATATAACACGGATATAACACGAATATAACCTCTTTATATGCTCTGAATAATCTCTCGATGTACACAACTTATCATACATACACAAATATTTTCCCCATTTTACGCAGAGCGGCATAATTGTAAAAATAGAAAATTAGTTATTAGGCATGTAAATACCTAGAAATTATGTAATAATAATAATAATAATAATAATAATAATAATAATAATAATAATATAACAAATAAGATATAAGCGGGTATAGGGAAGCGGGAAAAATGCAGCGAATAGCGGCGGCATCATTCTCCGCCACCACGCTTCCTTCTTTCCATTCTCTTACCCGAGAAGCTTCTACACAGCTGCAAGCGCGATCGATTCCGGTGTCTTTAAGATCATCAATCTGTTGTGGACATATCTTCTTTTCATTTGGTTTTTATGGTTTGTTCAATCTGCCTTTGGAAAGTTTATCCTTAGGAAATGTATCTTTTATCATTTTCTATGAGTTTTTCGGTTTTTCTGCATCTCAAGGTCCAGGGGAGCGGGCGGTTCTTTCTGAATGAAGTTTGGGGAGACGTTTACCGGGTTTCTTCACGGAGACCAAGAGTGGTTTTTGGATAATTGCTCGCATGTAGAATACAAGAGGCTCAAGAAAGTCTTGAAAGCTTGCAGGTCATTGAGGGATTCGAGCGGTATTGATCCGGAAGAGAGCAATGACGGAAATGAGAGTACCGGGTCAGAACAGCTCTGCCAATGTGATATCTGCGCAGGTTTTAGGACTTAATCTGGTTTCATTTTGCGCTCCCTTTCTATTTTGGCGTGTTGCGTTCTGATGCCTTGGGATTTTACTGATTAAATTTATGCGTGGTAAAAATATCTACTTTTGTTTTGGTAATGGTCTGAGCGTGATAGATCGTCAGGAAAGAGGAAACCAGAGGGATGAATGCATGGCGGGTCGGTCACCTATGGTTGAATGTCTCTTTCATAGTCCTTTAAATAAATTAAAAAAAATCCGATTTTTTTGGTTTTGTATTTGCAATGTGAATTGAGAGATAGATGATTATGAACTTATAAATTTTTCTATGATTGCCGTGTTTGTGAATTACCTTGATTTGTTGCCACACTATTCCGTCTAAACGTCAACTACAATAGACACTTGAAGAAGTTCCCACTGTTTGAACTGCAAGGTAAACTATGCATGTAAATATGTAGTTTGGTAAAAAAATTATCAATGAACTTCAAAATATTTGTGAAGCAAGATAACTTTCTTTTGATTCAATGGTCTAATTGTAAGAGGAAGAAATTTGAGCTCTAGGAAGAAACGATTTCTGTCTTTTGGGTTGGTTGTACTAGCAAATTCTAATTTTTTTATTCTAGGTTAGTAGATAATAAAATTAGGAAGATGCAACTCTCACCCTTTTGATGGAAGAAAGAGCAGTTGATTTCACAAAAGGTCACTCATTTAGGGAAAAGTAGCAACTATTATAACAAGCTCTTGACTTACCTTTCAGCATGCAAATTCTTTTTTTTAACTCGAGATTAATTATGGAAGGGGATGAAAACACATTTATGTGCCCTCCCTTTACTTTTGGCCCCTATAGTTTTTTCTCTTTCTTATATTATTGTCAGTACCTCGGTTTTATCATATTGAATGTTGGCATGATCATGGATTTAAAGGTTTGGGTATTATATTATCGGCTATTTTATTTGTTTAGGGTTTAGATATCATGTAGTAAATTAGGTTTTCTGTTTTTGGTTTAATTGCTGCACTATTGATTTCTATAGAGTTTTGTTGTGAATTTAGGATGAAATAGCAACATCGGACAAGTAGGTGATTTAACACTTCACATAAGGAAATTTTCTTATCCGCATTTGGATGGATGGATTTTTCTACCTTGCTTTGAACAAATAAATTTATAAGGTCAACATATTGAATTTTGGCTTAGGGCTGATTTCATATTCTATCAATTTTTGCCTTTCTCCTTGTTTTAGTTTTCCCAAGCCTAATATACTTATTGAAACTTAATTTATGATTTTCTATTAATTGAAGTTCTCATATGGCCATGTCCATTTTAAAGCTTCTTTATCTCAGTTCACAAAATTTCGAGTAGGTGGAGGGGCCTAGGGCTTGCCTTTTAGTGGTAGGATATTCTGATTTTTGATTTAGGAAGTTTCAAAAGATGTAAAGGAAAGTGTGGGAGGCTTAGGTTAGATTTTGGTGGGGTTTATCCAGGATAAAGCCCAATTTATTGTTTAGCTATACAATTTGCTACCTAAAAGTTAAAAACTCTTGATATCAGTTTTGGTTTTAGTGTAGAGAATATATATATATATATATTGGTTTTAGTGTAGAGAATATTCATGGCTTAAAACAACTTGAAAATTTTAAAGGCATTTGTTTAGATTTTTGCAGGAACTTTTTTTGAACATGCCCAATGTGAAATGCTTGACTTTGAAAAAGAGATTTTTGACATATGAGATAGAATTAGTAAAAACTTATAGAAGTGGTGGAGGGATGTGTCTGGACTGCTTGAGTTGACTCTAAATTATTAAAAAATTTTGATTGGTCCAAGCCCTGTGGAACATGAGTAGGTCTTGGTTAGGCCTTTCCTTGGTCGACCATACCAATGGAGATTTGGATATGATTTTTTTTTAGGAAAAACTATGAAAATATGGAAGAGATATTACACAATATTCTTATAAAAAATTTAGAAAAAAAGATTGCAAATAAAGAGATAAAACTACTTCACACCAAAGTGGTAGGTTGAGGAAGGCTACAACTCTCCTCTTACATAAGATGGCCATCAAGACTCCAGCCTCTTTGAGAAACTCCCAATTTCAAATTTAATCAACAATAATCTTAATTACTCCGACAACTAATGAAATATATTGTTCTCTAACAAAATCTAATCCAAAAATGATAGAATTAAAAGGAGGAGTGAGGGAGGCCCTTGTTTTGAATTGAGGAGAAAACCAACACTATTATCATAAAATAATAATTAATTTCATAATTAAATGCAATTAGTTATTTTCTTTTAAATTTATTACCCCTCATTAATTTGAAAATTTAACATCAATTTAATTAAGACTTCAAAGTTTCGTCACAAAATCTCATAAAATTACAATATACTTATAAAATCTTACCAATTAAAAATTTCAACATATTAAAAAATGCTCAAATTCTTAGTAGAAAATTTATTCGATGATTTTCTTGACTTTAAAATTTCAACAATTTCAATTCCAAAAGTATCACAAGTTACTTCAAAGGTTTCATAAAATCAGGTAGCATAAGAATTGGAACAAATTCAATTAATCTTAACTTGATCTAATGACTTTTGTGTTGTCGGAGTCCAATAAAATTTCTCTAATATCAAAATATTAGTGATAGAGGTGATGACAATACTAAAGTCCTTAATGAATATTCTATAAAAATAGTTCGATCATGAAAACTACGTACTTTAGTGATACTCTTTGGTTAGAGTTAGTCCAAGTTTGCTTGAACTTTGGAAGGGTCTGATTTGGTTTTAGAAGTAAAATAATAAATTTTAGAATAATTACTCCGATTTATAAAATGAAACACTTTAAATTAATATACAATGTTTTTGCCTTGGGATTTCAAGGACTTGTCTAAGGTGCATCAGATTATCTAATGAAAGTAATTAAAGCGTTTGAAAGCCCAAAGGAGATCATCATTCATTAATAAAGTTTAACTGAGGTCTTAATTATAATATTTCACTCATTATTTGATTGAATTTTTTTTGACCCCGGAAATAGACTATGGTGTCATGATATAATTTTTTTTTAAATGATTAAAAATTTGAGAAAATAATATTATAGATGGGTGAGAGTGACTTTAAAATATAGATGTAAAAACATAGTGAATTAAAGCTTTAAGAACATTTAAGGGATGAGGGGTTGCAAAGACCTCTTACGTCTCAAACTCTTCTAAGACAATCTTTTTTTATAAAGTTTCGTTTAATTTCATAGATACCAAATTTTATATACATATATTTGTAAGCATGAAATTTTAAATGCAAATAAAAAACTATATGCTTTGATTTACAAGCCTCAAGTCCTTAAAATTGTAATGTTATTTATGTTTTTGTAAATAAGTAATTAGCATTACCATATATAGTAAACATGAAATTTAAAATAAATGACACACAATTTTTATTGCATCAAGTTATGATTTTATTTTTTTTGAATGTAGCACTTCCTTATCAAAGTTTTCACTGAAGATAAAGTTTTAAAAATAGGTGCACACAAAGGATATTAGTTAAGCTTTGTAGTGGAGCTTATTAATTAGATTTTATACCAACACCATAGATGTATAAATAATATACATGATAATCCATTTATTAATATTAAATAAATCTATCATAAAAGAAAGTTATTAATCTCAAACTTGTTGAAGTTACTCTCAAGTATCTGGATATAAGTCTACTTAGTAATTTTTTCTTGTCCAAAAGTTTGACTGGTTCTGCTCTTTCACTAATTTGCTCAGATATGAAATACGATGCTTATGGGTTGCATTTATGTGAGATTAACAGTTATTAAAGATCTTGAATCTTTATTATAATATCTAAATAAGAGATCTAGAGTTTTAGGTGAAATGTCTAAGGGTTAAGTTTGGTATGCTGATTGAAATGGCTAATTTGGGCTGATTTGGATCACTTTAGCGAGGTGACTTTAGATTGGATAAATTATTTGAGATTATATGATTGATTGCCTTAGGATGTGGAGTTATGATTTGAAGTTAATTGTTAATTTGAAGGAGTTTATGTGAGTGTCAAGTGATAGATAGCAAGAAAAGGTTTTAGTGTCAGCTTGGTTCAGAGTCTAAGATAAAATTTAGAATGTTTTTGAGGTTGGATTGGATAGCGGATGATATTTTATGATTTTAAATATATTATGAGGTGATTAGTAAGATGAGAAAATACTGAAGATAATAGCAAATTAAAATCAAAACAAAATAAAGATTATTTAATCTAACCAAAGAAAAGATGCATGTTTGAAGTCATTAAGTATCAAGTAAAATAGAGAAAAATTTCACTCAAATATTTTGTTCAGTAAGTATCAAATTCCATTACATGCTAGCCCATTTTATAGAACTTTCATTAAACAAAATGCAAAAAAAAAAAAAAAATAAAATAAAAAAATAAAAAAAAAACAAAATAAGAAAAAGGAAGAGAAAAACTTTTGTAAAAAAAAAAAATAAACAAAATAAGAAAAAGGAAGAGAAAAACTTTTGGAGGAAAAGTTAGTGGTCTTTAATACAACATTGTGTTGATCACCTTATTAAATTATTTTTATTTTTTAACGACATGCCTCTGCAAACATCCAATGTTGAAAATTCAAAAATTCAGGAAACAAAATTTGACATTTAAATAATAAAATATAAATTCAAACATTTTCTTATTAGGCTTATAATGAGTCTTGAATGGGCACTTACTTGTGTTTTTATTTGGGCTCTTATAGCTTATATTTTTGCTTTATTTTCTTGATTCATAAGATACGTTACATTACTCGTTGAAGATGGTTGTGTCACAAACAAGATTACAATGTAAAATTTAAGAAATATGGTTGTGGATCACTTCACATTAAGGTTTAAGATTTTCAAAATGAGAAAAATGTCAAAACTATCATCTGATATTTTGTCGGGGTTCATTTTAGTCCCATAGTATATAAATATATCAAGTTAGTCCTCATGCCTTTTTCATATGGGCTAAAATAGCCCTCTATGGGGACTATTTTGAATCATATTGAGTTT